TAAAAGACAACTTGGAGGTAGATCCTTTGAACTGTCTTCTGTATGGTAAGAGGCTCGAACAGGAAAGACTGCTAAAGACTTGATCAAGTCTTTGACTCCTGAACTGATTGATGGTTTAACTCAACTGGACTTCTACTCGGATCAATATTAATATATGGATATTTTTGGACTATCTGATCATCAATCTCTTGAAGTCTGTATTCAATTATTGAACCAGTTAATTAATTGGTAACAGATATTTTTATTTTTATTGAAAATAACTTCTCAAACTTGAATACAAATCACTTTTTGCATAATTTCTCTGTTTCATGCATTTTAAATGTAACCATAATCCTTCCTGGGCCATACCATTAAATGAGTGGTGTCCAAAGTCAGTCCTCAAGGGCCGGGATCCTGCATGTTTTAGTTCTCTCCATGGTGGTAGTAATAACCTCCTCAGCAAGTCAATGTTCTCCTTAGGCCCTCTAATGAGACATCATTTGATGCAGGTGTGTAAAACCAGGGAGAGTACTAAAACATGCAGGATGCCGGCCCTCGAGGACCGACTTTGGACACCCCTGCATTAGATCATCTGACAATAGCCTATTAGTCCTAAGTGCTAATCACTATACTTTAATATTAGCATCTGCATGATATATACTACAGTTTGTGTGTATTCTTTTTTTTATTTCACATTTTGCACTACTTTATGGAGATGTATCAACTTTGTGGTTGTAAAGTCACAAAATATGGAAAAAAGCATCTACTCCCTTTCCAAATGCCTGAACACACCTGCTCCTTATTACCATAACATTAAACCACAAGAACAGAGGAAAGAACTGTTATGGTGTCCATAAAGGTCAGTAAAATTAGTTCGCAATCAGCCATTTTGCTCCCAGAATATATATGTCATGGTTTAATGAGTCGGTCAGCCATTTTGGCTCTAGGAGACATGACTTAATCAGTCAATTAGAGTTGCAGTTGATTAATATGCCTGGGCTGGGAGCAGCGTCAGCCAGGAGAGAAATGGACCAGCGAATGAATAATCACCACGTGATGCTAGAGGGTTGCTCTGTGAGCTACAATCATTTAAGACTTAAGGGAAAATGATCTCAGATTTTTAGCCATAGTTC